TATGTTTACTAATATTTTTTTTCTAATTTCAGGTAAGTTGCGGATAATGAAGTTTGGAAATAATCTGAAAGTATGTAAGGTTATTTTTTAAATATTAATTATTATCTTTAAGAAGTAAATTTCATTAGATAAAATTTGATCACATTGTTGGTATAATGCTCAATTTCTGTTGATGTATAATAAAAATACTCTGAATCTTCAGTTAATGGGTCTAGTTGTTATTTAAATTTATAACTAGTCCCATTAACTGAATATTCGCAGCATTTTTATTATACAACAACAGAAATTGACTATTACACCAACAATGTGATCAAATTTTATCTAGTGTAAGTTACTTCTTATTTCTGATAATAATCAGAGATACAGTTATTAATAATAAAATATTATTGGTTATTGTTATCATCACATGTTTTTCCATCAAATTCTGCTTGAAATATTTCTGATATAACTTTCTCTAACGAAATATGTTTTGTTTTTTAAACCTTAAAAATAATCATGAATTTTTTTTTTTTTTTAGTTTGTAAAATCCATGTAGTTTCTGTTAATGATACTAGTTATCAGAAATTATTCACAATTTTCTTGCCACTCTACATTATCTTCTAGAATTTTTATATTAGATATTAACGTTTCTGAAATATTTATTTTTTTAGCGATTTATATAATACCACTTTTATTTCTGGAAATTTCTTTTAAACCGTGGGAAAGTGATTATCTTTTTATCTCCATTTATAAATTATGAAATTCTTTCATAGATTATATTTAACCAATATTAACAATGTGAGACAGTAAATTATTTTCAAACATACCATATTATAGATATATTAGAGGAAGCTATTTTGAAAATTGGGCATTTTTACTATGCTATATTATTTCATATGGTGAATGAAAAGGTGATAATCTGATATTTAAAACATTTTAGTTTTAACGATTGTAATACTTTCCCTTTCTATCTATTCCATTTAGACAAGTGAAAGTAAAAAAATGTCAGAGTAGTTGAAATATTTAAATTGATAAAGTTAGATTTGCAATTAAATTTCTCAGTGTACTAATTGAGTTACTAAAATCCAAATGCCTTTATTAATCGTATATTATCAGATTTAGTTCTAATTTTTAAGATTCCATTTATTGGTGACGTACTGGCCAGATTAGTGTTACATGGTGTGGTCTGATACATATATAGAAATCAATATTTACCCCGCTTCAGTGCCTGCCGCGTCTAAAATTGAACCTCCAAGTCCTTGAGGACTTGCTATCGTCAATAATATTCTCGACTAAGCTTCAAAACTTTATAATTGGTTACAAGAAGTTCATGTAATAGTGATATATAAAACTAGTGGATTTACATATGACAGATTAAACATACTAAGGAAGTGTGCATCGATTTTTTGTGACAATCTTTTCTCTTTTTTTCAGTAATAGGTGTTTATGTATGATATTCTTAAAACTATTTTATAAGTATCTATAAGTTAGTATTACAGATCATGTTTCTATACATTTTTTTAGTGTCAAAGGGGCTTCTTAAATTTTATAATTTGTAATGATTGAGATATAAGGATAACATTGTTTCTTTTATTCGACTTCATGAAAGAAGATGATAAATTATATTCTTCGAGAACAAATCATAAAGCAGCATTTTACCCTCAATATTTTAGAAGCAGGATACTATTTATAAGTGTCCTTTCCAATTAACTCTGTTTTTTTTTCGAATAGTGACCTGTAAAAAAATCAGGGAATTTAAAAAAAAAAACGCGCTGTATACTGCTATAACAATAAAAATAACTTTTTTCTTCGTGAGAATAATTCGCAAAGAATATTGGTCAGTGAACAAATGAGAAAAGACAATAATTCAACTTTTCATAAGATGATGAAATCATTTCTTATTTTTTGGTTATTGTAATTGACTAAGGAAAAGTAAATTGTTATAAAACTTTGTCCATGTTTTATACTAAAATGTTTGGGAATTTCAATATCCTGTATCTCGGATAATAATAGTCCGAATTCGATGATTTTATTTATTTATTTATTTTTTTTTTTTGTTTTGTTTTTCAGTGGATTTAGTAATATTTTAAATAATCGTGTGTACAATAAAGAAAATAATGTATACTTTTTGAGTTATTGGCAAATAAAGTTTCTTTTTCTTCATAACTTTTTTCCTGAAATTGTTACTTTTTTTTCACCTAAAGGAGAAAATCTTCAAAATGATGGCTGCATCATTAGATTTGATGAAGATATGGCGTAGTGACAAAAAAAAAAAAACCCTTTGAGAAATAACAATAAAGATAGATTGATTAGCTCCTATGTTTTAATCTACTATCTCTGTAGCCTGCGAAGATATTTTAATACACTCTAGAATCTAATAAATATATCTGTTCACTATTGCGTGGATGCGCGCGCCGAGTTTTTATCCCAACGTTCCATGTCACCTTATAACGCTTTCTTATTATTATTTAATGTGTTATTTATTTAATTGACAGTTTTTCTATTTATCTCTCCCATTTTTCTTTCTTTTTTTAATCCCTGTATCTAATCGCAGAGTTTGGAGTTATCTGAAGAGCGGTTATCAGAGGTTGCCGCTCCAGTTGCAAGGAATCGGATTAGGAAGGAGGCGAGAATAACTAACTGAGCGCCTCTGTTGAGTTGAGGGAACATCTGCTCCCTCCCCCCCCCCCACCCGTCACTAATTAGGGGATACTTAATTCTCTATCTCACGCTGTCCTCCACGGCTTAACGAGCTTTCTCAATTACTATTTAGTCAATGAATAATTACTGAATTCTAACACTACCGCCCAATTCTCAACATATTATAAATGCGTTAATCTATCTATAATGCTATCATTTTTCGCAGTCGAGAAGTATGATAGCCTTTTTCGGCTATCAGGAGCGGTATATGATGTAATGTTTAATTTATGTACAATATTGTTATTCTCAAGGGACGTAGTCCCAGAATAAAGTTGATTCTTCTATCTATCTATCTATCTATCTATATTTTGATGAAGAAGTGAACAATTATGGTCACATCCACTCGAAATTTTCAGGAAGTTACGTTATGAATGAAAGAAAACTTTATTTGCCAGTAACTCAAAAAGTATACATTTTTTCCAAATTGCACACATGATTATTTGAATGATTACTAAATTTCCTACACAAAACATCATTGAAATCTACTATAAATTTGTACTTAGAAAGGAGAAACGAAGGAGAAAAGTGGGTTTAAATGTTTTTTTAAGGACGAGCGGTGTCGAGATTCGTATTTCGCTCTTCGAAAAACACTCAAATACAAAATTTTTATAAAAATCAAAAATTACTCGAAATTTCACAAAAGTTTAGGACCACATCAGCTACACGAGATGGCACAAACCGGACCTCCGTAAAAAAATTAGAACTGGAGAAATACAATAAAAACGTGTTAGGAGTTTTATTTATTCCTTTTGGAGGCGTTAAATCTAATAAAAATTGATATGTGTTTTGAAGATAGATAATTTAGCTTTCCAACGGTTATAGTGACATTGAATTAGAAGAAAATCCTGAGGAATTATGTATGTTTTAGTGAACGATAGGGAAAAAAATATTAAGCAAAAGTGAAGTGGTTACCATGGTAACCAGCTCAACACAGCATTGGCAGCAGCTATCTTTATATGTAATAAGGTTTTTTTTCGCAGTTTAGATCCCTTTTCCTGCTCTTAAAATCGATGGATTTTGATGAATGAGATATTAAACGAAATGGTATTTCATAACGAAGTGACGTATCATGGTCACATCTCCCCGACATTCTAGGGAAAATCTGATGCGCGCATCACATAACTTCTTTCACTTACCATCCTCTTAGCAGAAATAAGTATTTTCAGACAGAGAGGAGGTGAAAGAAAAATTATAGAGCCTATATTTATTTAGATTTCATTATGGGTATTTTAAATTTTTTTTAAATACCTTTATATAGATAAGTTTTAATTTTGTTATCACTGTATTCTATACTATTAAATAATACCAAGTTTCTTTTAAAGATTACCTAAATTCCCTACAAAACAAAAAAATAAGTCATCGAAACAGGACCATTTTTAGCAAAGATACAGCTAATTGTAATGTTCGCATGTTTTTGTTTATTATTATGAATGAACTAATGTGATTTGACTAAAAAAAAATATATATTTTCTCTTACTGATAATACATTGAATTACGTTATGGTTAATGTATACTCTGTATGAATGTTGATTCATTATTATTACACAATAAAATTTTTATAATTAATACAAAGCTATTCTAGACATATCCATTCATTTCCTATCTTTTTTTGTTATATAATTATTTTTATATTATCATGCTAGTATACGGAAAACGGGACATTGTTTGGCTTTAAATTGCTGCATGCATGCAATATAGTTCGTTTAAGCAAGAGTTTCTTTTGATGTATACGTCGAAATATTTAAAGCACAATTTATTTCGTTTCAATTCATAGACTTTTGAAATCTTTCTATTTTTTCAAATACTTTTATTATTATTTTTTTAGGAATTTAAGGATCGAAATTAAAATTCGTCACTTCTCTATAAAACCCTTAGTTATATATCTCATTTGACAAAATCTATTCTACGTTATTATGTATATAGACATTGTGTAGATTTTTTTTTCTCTATTTATCTTTTGAAAGCTTGTTGAATTTACTAATATCGATTATGAAACTCTAGCCTTTTAAACCAACACTACTATATCGATTAATTTGAAAGCCAGTACTTGAATCCAGCATACTCCATATTAGTCGGACTTAATAAGCTTATCTTAACTTTCACTTGTTATAATGGCTTATATGTTCGTGAACAGCTCTGTTCCAAAACAACTATCCAAAACTATCCTGACATTACCTGTGTAAGGTAGTCGTGTGTAAGGTAATCGTAGTCGTAGACACAGGTCATGTGTGTGTTTGTTTTTTCGCTGAAATATACTTGCCGGAAGTGTGCCACTTTGCCACGAAAATTTAATGGTTTTTAATATCAGCTTGACCTCGCCTTCATTGAAATAGCCTGAGCCGTCTTTTCAAGCGGCAGTGTCCGACGGGACTCAACGCGAACTGCGTTATGTTTACCTGCCGACGACGGCGCATAATGAAGACGTGGGCCCTAATAGCCTGTTGGGCAGGTTTACGATCCTCGGGTGAGTCACTGCAATCGGCGGGGAGCTGCCCAGAGCCACACCGAATCAATACGCCTGACTCACGGGTTAGTTCGGGCCCCCCCTGTCCTCCCCGTCTCCTCGCTGCCACTTAATATTGATATCTTTTATTGGTCGTCTGCTACATTGGACGTGTCGTCTACTGGGGATGGATTGCCCAGAAGTTGATTCAACGGCTAGGAATAATTATTACATCTTGCTGGTATACTGCCAAAAATCGATTCACTAAAATAAATGAATTTATAGTTATAGCAATAACAACCTCCATTTACTATGGATATCGTTTCTAAACCTATTATAGATCCAATTAGACATTCGTTGAAAACGCACTGTGATGAAATCATGACGGAATTCGTTATAGAAAGATTTGGCGAAAATGTCCTCGCTGGAGACTCTATTAACCCATTGAAAGATGCCATATTCATGCAACCAGTGCTAAGTATTGTAAACATCTTAAATGTTTAAAATTATTTACGAAATGTGTGTTAAATATAGCCGTTTGCACTTTCGATTATAACTTCTTGTTAAATGTTGCTAACTTCGTAAACGCATGGTGAAGGTTATTGTAAGGTATTGATGTGTTTGATTCTTTGTTCTTTGTTTGTGTTCACTATCCACAAAAATGGAATGTTACGCAACAGCTAGGATTTCATCTATGTATTCATCAAGTTCTTTGCCTTCTGAATCATCTGTATCTTCATTCGTGCTTTCTAATAAAGCATTTTTGACGTAAAATAATCGAGCAACTTTTTACTTAGCTTTAGCATTTTAAAATAAATTAAAACGTTGGTAGATCAATTAAGAACTCACAAACTTTGTTTACAGTAAGTACAGGCATAACCTTACAACATGATAGCACATTAAGCACTTACAAGAACTGTATTAATATCCCTATTTTGTCAAAATTGACGAGTTGTGGAAGAAAACAAAATCATAAGAAGCATTCTTGACAGAACTCCTTTGCAATTCCGAAAAATGGATACTTGGCACACAAAACGTTTTGATATATAAGATACCTTCGATATCTTCTTATAAATCTCGTTAGGAATGGAAACCTTGCTCTACAGTTATGATTGTTGTATGGTATACTGATTAATCGCATTCTATTTGTCACTTACGGTTCCCCTCAATCAAGTAGATTTTCTGATATCGAGCGGAAAGAAATTTAGCATTTGGCTTTACCTAAGCTGTTGGTTCTGGATTGTTCATTAGTCATGAACATTTGTGTAGGTAATACAACCTCAAGAGAAAGGTATTCTCCCACTTCTGGCCATGAAAAGAACTAATTCTTTTAGTGAAATCTCTCTCCTTACTTGGCGCTTTCTCTGTGAAACTCTCAACTCATTTTACTTAAAATAAAATCAATTCAAATATTTCTCGCTGGTAGTTTCCAATTCCACTGTACTTTCTTAATTTAGAATTGCAAACTATTTCTTGTGCTGAAAGAGTTGTATCGATCCGTTCTAATCAATCTATTAATTAACCCAAATTGAAACTTCACAAAAATATAGTCCATCACAATATTCATTAGCCCTTAAAATGTGCTCCTTTGTTCCTTAGAAACATATGTGGACCTCACACAGATTGTATTTTTGATCGAAAATGTGAGCAAATGCTATGATTTATTTTATATTTATCGTTATGACGGTTACATCTATGAAGATTTTTTTGTTAATATAAAATTCTGAATATAGTTGAATTTAATTAAATCCATTATACTTTCATACTAATTTATGCCAAGTTATGAGGACGTCAACGCTGTTAAGTGCGCCTGGAATGTTGATCGAGTTACCCTCACATTCATTCACGAACCTCGTTTTCATTTCTGCCAGTCATGACCCACTTCAACTTTCTTATTATTATTAGCTTTGCCGTTCTTATGTTGGATAGGTTCAGTTTGATCGTGTAACAGGAACTATTATTATTAATTAAAGTCCTTTATAAATAATGACATGATACTTGTCTGCCAATTGAATAAACTATTTACAGATGCATTAATTTTATATATAAATATTAAATTTTTTAGGAACGTAAGAATTTCATGATAGTGTAAAAACGTATAAATCTGAATTTTTCAATCTTATTCACTTTTCTGGGAATGTTTATTTTTCGGCACTGAAGAAGAGGATAACCTTCAACATCATGGCTCAATCATTAGGTTTTATGACGAATTAATGATAATATGGCCTACCTTATATTTAAAAAAATAAAAACCTTTGGGAAATGATATATAAAGGTGTAATTGTGCTTCATGTTTTTTTCTGGGGTGAGTGGGTTAGGCCCCGTCTACTGGGGTAACTTTAGCTCGTGCGTACAATTTTGGCCAAAGGAACAAAAATTAAATTTATGTGCTGTATCGTAAGAGAGTTAGTTATATATTGGTCATTGCAATAAATTATTGATAGTTGCTCTGTTTGTTTGTATACAGTTCATGAATTCGTTTATCTTGCCAAAGCAGTTCCAGTTTAAGGCGTAAATTTATCCCTTTTGAGTCTAAGTCACAACTTATGGCTTATATGTATGTAATATATAAGCAAAAGGTTTAAACGCCCACTTACATATCGTATCGTTAGCCATAATTTTGCTACACGCTGTCCATCAAACTCCAGCTGTGTCGTTATTTATTGAGCGTGGTATTCCCGTGCAAACGTTCGTTCGCTATTGATCAGTCACTGTCGTCGAAGAGGATTTATGTTATTTTGTAGTCGTTGCAATCTTGTCAATTCTGGCATTGATTTATTTAAGGGAAGTGTCTAATGCCGATGCTGCAAGCCGCTTTTAACGAGCTAGATTTCTTGTTATCGCTTTTGTCATATCTATTTACATCTTGCTATCGAAAAGATAAACGTTGACAAGTGAAACTGTTTGTTACTACTAATTGGTGTATTTTTAGATTCAATATAAGACTGCGGCAGCACTTCTCGCGAATCGGTTCAACATAGATAGCAAAAGAGTAAATTTTATTTAAAGATTTAAATACGTTGTCGATACAAGATTCCTAGAAGAAAAAAAATTGTCAAAGATATACCTAATAATTTATGATTATCAATCTTTTTTGTGCAATCCTATTTCCGATAGATATTGAAGAATGAAAATTTTAAGTTAGGGACGTTTAGTGATGATGGAAAAATATAATATATAACGGTATGAAAATAATTCACCTTCAATTTTTGTGTAAATTTCACTGTTCTTAATTGTTATGATTAATACTACTATCACGTGTGCAACTCTCTTCCGTCGCCAAAGACAGATGGCATTCCTTCACGGGCCATGGCATATCCCAAGCGTGGGTCATTTCACCTTCAAGTGGCGATATCGTCTGAATATCAATTAATATCTACGATAATCACGTATGCTAATTTATTCCTTTCCGTTGAAAAGGTTTCCCTATAGTCCTTTAGCGCTTCTTTAATTATTTAAAATACAATTTCAAGTGTCTATCTTTGATGTGGTTAATTTTTCACTCGGCCCGATTCCATTTACGAATTCAATATATATAAAAAATTACTTATGTATTGTAAAAATAAACGAGATAGTTATACAATGCTAAATTTCTTTATCAGGAAGTGGCCATTTTAATGTGCACGCATTGTGCGGCCGGCCATTGGAGAGGACTGCGGCGCCTACAGGTCTAGTGCATGCCAACTAAATGGAGCTGCTCACGGCAGGTCTCGCCTACCTGGCGTCCAGGCGTCTCCGCCATTCAATATGGATTCTCTACAGGTTGTTTTAGGTTTTGTAAATATACCTCACGAATCTACGCTGGCTCGTTCCACAGTTTTCGCTCATCGATTTTTTTCATCTCCAATCAGAGGATATCATTTATTATTAATAAGTGATTGTATTTTTAGTTTGTGTATTATTTTACTATGCGAATTTTTCATCAGTGACCCAAAGTCTGTCTGTCTCTGCTCATGTGTGTTCTATTGTAAGATTTCACATGGCATTTAATATATATGTAACAAGCGATTGGTGGTGTCGGCATCGAACCTTCGGGTTCGCTAAGCCTTATTATTATTTTTATTTAATATATATGAAATTTATTAACGTTTGTTCTATCAAATTCTTTCTAGTTTCTTGTTAGGTTATATTTATTTAGTTTTTTTTTAACTATCTATAATTACTTTTATATAATTTTATTTCCCTTATTGTTAGTATTCCTCAGATTCTCTTTTTTAATTCGTACCGTTGAACCTATCCTTTAATTAATTAATTAATAAAAAATCTTCTTAATCGACGCTACACTCCGAGGAGGAACAAGGCAGCCTGCAACAATGGCCGCCAGTCGTCTGATTAATACAAATTAAATTTAAAAAAATAAAATGACAAAATGGCTATGTATATCGAGTCTGCCTAGCGATAACTCTCTGTGGAAGCATATAAGAACATTTTTAACCAAGTAACAACTAAAAAATTGGGGCCAGATCGTTGACTAAATAATATTGAAGAAATCTTTTCTTTTTGACCATATTCTTTATAATGCAAGTTCACTTATTGAATACCCAGTGTTCACATTCACTCACAAAGATATTTAGCTACCTTAGAGTTTTTAAAATTACAGTCCAAGTTAAGATCATGTTGAATAGGTGAGAATGAATTCAACTGGTAATAAACAAAAAAATACACTTCTTTTTCAATTCGTGTCAAAAATAAATAAAAGTCCGCATATCCAGAGTAAGGCTGGTGTAGCTTTCATATCATCTATTGGTTTAAGCCGTTTTGGAAGTGTAGTCTTCTTAAGGAGTTACATATGATTGAAGTGGACGACATTTGATCAATTCTACGATATATTGGGCCATCTAGATATCAATCCTTATGATCCCCAAAAATTTCATTGTATCGGATTGATTAGACTAATTATAGCCGTCACATGAATTTGATTACAGATTCATTGATAGGCACTGATCCAAATCAGTTCCTTATCGTTTAAAACTTGAAAATCGAGTAAAAATGTCCGATTTTAAGGAGAATTTTTCTAGCCTCTAGGAATTTTGTATCCATTCAAATCCTTATTTCTTCGGCAACGAGGGAAAAAAATAATAATTTGTCTGTGCGTTTAAATATATATTCCATTGTATATAACATGATAATACTTTAGTTAAATTATGACGTTTTAGATGCAGAAAATATAATATCTCTGCTTTAAATTCTTGTGTTGGAAAAAAAATAGTAGAGAACGATTCGTATGGTGTTAGTATTTGTAATGTATGTACTCAAATATCACTATTAGATTCAAGAATGACATTCAATTTATATATCCATTATTTTTACTTCTATTAAAGCCCTTCTTATTTTTATTCCTTGATGTTTTTATCAACAGATGTATTTGATACCATAAATATTTCTGTATTGAACATATCGAAGCTGTATTAGCTCATAAAGATAATACTTTTTCATTTTTAAATATTATATTTGTGCTCTCGACCAATCTCCGCTGGCTTTAGTACCAGTGACGCGGTTGGAAGAGTAGCGCAGGGTTCTCCTGGAGTTCCCTCGGCTGATTGTATATAGGTATGCATGTTATTTTTTTTTTCCTTAGTTTTAATTTTCTTATTTTTTAGGTTATTTTATTTTATAGTCTATTGTATATACTTTTGATTATTATTTTGTTCTATTTATTTTATTTTTTTGTACATATGGTGTGAATGTCATCCTACCTCACTATAACCAATGTCGAACAGACAGATTGTTATAATACTCAATAAAGAAGTATAATCAAACATAAAAAAAAAAAAAATATTATATTTGATTATATTAATCCTCTTTCATCATGAAATCCATTGAGCGTTTTTCTAAAGAAGATTAAGGTAGGTTCGATGGCTTAATAATAAAGTTGGTTTGACGTTTAAATTATAAAGATTTTTTTTCATGTGCATAATTGCTTGATTTTTATATAATCATTCTATTGTTTGTTAGTAATACATAACCTCGATGTAGGTGCCTTTGAACTGCAGAACTGATAACGTAAACAAGTTACGCTTCCCATGACTGATGTTAATTAATGCATTTAAATATAATTTCCCACAAATTATATCTTCAAGAAGTTCTTTAATTCTTTTTCTTTTCTTTAATTCATCGCTCGCCTTTTGTTAAGCGCAGGTTAGCTATTTCTGTTTTATGACAAGCTGTACAATCCTTTGATGAGGTCATTGGCCGACCATTAAGTGATGGCCGAATCTAAAATGAGGTATAGGGGCAGATATAAATAGCAGTGGCGTGCTCCGGCCATCCTATTTTAAGAAGTGCATGTCGGCTGTCAGGAGGTGTGAACCATATGCTCATGTTCTCCGTGCCCTGTACGGCTACCGGAAGCTGTCTTCTTTGATAAGCGAGCCCTTCCTCCCTGATAAGTTCTATAACAGTCAATGTGATCCCATCTGTAGTACCGAGGCACTGGTCGTTTTACAAAGACATATTTTATTGCATTTTAATGGAGTATGAATGGTAGTGATCTTGCGGTCCGAGCAATGGTTGGTCAATGCATCAAATATTAATTATATAAACCAAAGTGGTTTTGACAAATCACACTTTGCTTATGCATCCACACATTACTGAAAAATTGCCTTGTATTGTATACTTATTACGAATCATTGAAGGCTAAGGATATAAGACGTGGTGTTTGGCGTTCCCTGTTCCCATCTGAAGTGGGCTTGAGAGGAATTGATATGATAGATGGTGGCTGGCCATCTTGAGGCAATAAATGAGGGAGGACATGCCCGCGGCGGCCTGATTTCCTCATTGTCTCAGATTACAGTCAATTACCCTGTCTCCGAGATCTGCACTCTCTTAACAGGCATCATCCAATCTCTGTGTCCTTTCTGCTCCACCCGTCATTCTTACAATAGTATAGAGAAAATAGCTCTAATCAGTTCCATTTCAGGGCAGATGTGTTATTCTCTCCGTCATTACTTAGTGGTTTTGAAAATGAGTTCATGATTCTAAGGCAGACACTAGCATATCTTGGTTTTTCTATATTTATATTAAGTTTTCTCTACTTCCTATGTATCCACTAAAATATTTTCCAACCACTCCACACATTGATGTTCCGCCCCGTTGAGATGCCATTTTCTCTGTATTTAAGTCCTCCTTAAAACTATTTTTTTTTTGTTAGCTTTTGATTTCTGACGACATGAGGCGTAGGAGGTCGGCTCCTGATTGGTGCACAAGCCCCGGACGACCAAGCGATGTTGCTCAGCGTTCCCCGGCTGATGGGCGAGGACGGTATAGGTAGCTGGCTGGGCGTGGCCGGGGGTCGCTAGGCAACGCCGGCCGGAGGGTTGTTCACCCCTATCGGGCCCCGCCTAGCCCCGCGGATCTGCCTCCTTATATATATTTATTTTTATATATACTAGTCTCATTATCGCACTTTTCATCTTCCAATTCAATTTAATTTTATTAATAATTAAGCAGTTTGATTATACTATCTTATGTATTTAAAGAAAATTAGCCAGTATCACTGCAACTCCTGAAGTGTCTGGGTTCAGTACTGTTCCTAACCTAAGTAATGGTTAAGCAAAATTATTTAGTTGAAATCGGGCTCAACGGGTCTCCTCATTGATAGCCTCATGAGGCTCCAAAGAGTAGATCCTTGGAATATTGGAAAAACTCGTTATTTCTTATAACGATATGTCAATAATCAAAATTGATACAAGTATTCCATTATCCCTTAAAGAAGAAATAAAGTTAGACCTAGGCCTAGAGCTTCCTTCCAGCTACCACAATTTGTTCTTTATTACAGACATGCTCAAGGCAAAAAACAAAAAATTAAATAAACAAGAAATACGAGATATTTACTAAGAGAGAAGATATTGATGGTTATTACGGATTGACTTCTGCTAAAATTTGAACAAAATTATTGAAACATTATTCTTATTATTTTTTGAAATAATAAAAAACGGATAAGCGTAAACTCCGAAATAATTCAATGATTAACTAATTAAGAAAAAAAGGAGAAATATTTTCCCAGCAAATAAAAATAGTACTATGGATATACGTCAAATCGAATAGCACCTAGCTCTTTTAGGAAAAAAAAAAATATACGGTCGTACGAGATAATGGACAAGGATGAAAATACGAATTTAGCAATTAAAGAATAGGGAAGAACGTATGCTAATTTAATGTTTTGTATTATAATGCACGCACTGAACCAGATGTTTTTTCCTAGTCGTTAATGGCGACAAGTGGTTTGTTTCACGACCTTAAAACCTTAAGGAGTAAGGAATTTTAGAAATGTTTTCGTTAAATAATTGTGGAGATGTTACAGTGGCCTCTCCAAAATGAACTTGACACTGTTCCCTCCATCCAATGCAACCTTTCCCCACCTCACACATTTCTTCTATCTTAGTTGGCCCAAATCCAGCTCACTCCCATTCCTATCTTTTTAAATGTCCTCCTTTATTTTTGTTTTTAAACGTGTCATGCTTTATTTTGTTTTGATTCCTATCCTCGTTTTTTTTTTATTTTTTCATCCTGTCATCTCTTATTTCTTTCGTCGCTATTTCATTTGTAATTATTAATCCTACTCTTCGTTATTGTTATTTGCCTCCGATCAGTAAATATTTATTGAAGAAAATTTTCAATTTTGTGATTTTTAAGTGTAGTATTTATGTCATAATTAAATATATTAATTTTTATTCAGTTAGTGTTCATTGGAAACATGTTTTATAATTTTATTGCGGATTAATTAGTCAGGATTCAAACTTT